TGTCCAATAGGTCATGACACAAGTTTTCTGATAGGTCACATGACACAGGTTGTCTGATACAATACATCTAACGTTGAACCAGTGCTCGTGCAACAAGCACCACCAAAAGCAAAGGCAATGATTGAAACCCCATCTTGTTCATCTACACCTCCAAATCTGACCGATATAGCCATATTCATGTCCACAAAGATCACAGAGTTCAAGTCCACAAACAGTGTCAAAGCAATATTCCACTGATGATTGGCAAATCTGAAACTTAAAGCATCCTTTGCACCCTGATCCTGTTACAACCGCTGGCAGTGCCACTGATGCAGGGCTAAGGGTCCAGGAATTCTCTGTGTGTTTTGTTGGGACAACCCTGATGGGCAATGCAAACATTGACACAGTGAAGGAGCTCATCAGTGTTTCCTGGTCTGTTTCCAACAATTATGCTGTGGATATTGGTAGAGTCAATGCATTGTGTTTAATGAGAAACAATCGCACCAAACCATCAAAGGGGCTTCGGTTGGGTGATAGACGTTAGGTTGTTCTCTGTTGGCTGGAGTCGGCTAAATTGATCCTAATTGAGGATAAGTGACATTTGGGCATTGGTAGAGACAAGGCAGAAGATGGACATCTCTATGCTGATAGAATGCATCGTCCCGTGGGACGACTAGGTAATGGTGATTAGTGATATTACTGAGGTTCTGGGTTGTGGCTGAGGGGAGGGCAGGCTCTTGCTCCCCATCACAATGTATACAGGCATTGGGATTCCCTAATGCTGTGCAACACGGACATGTTGTATAACCGTTGGACTGGTGTTGGTTGAACATGGGTAAAACAAGCAGAGTTAGTTTGAATTTATCTAGACTGCGCCAATGTCTACTATAGAGTTGCCATCTACCTAAGGGTTAAAGTTGTAGTCCACAAGGGTATGTCACGTCCTTGTGGATGTTACTCATCTCAAAGCATGAGAAGACAAGATGTCGAAATTAGCACAAGCTGCATCTGGATTCTGTAATGCAAAGGTGTATCATCACTGTTGAACTGTTCTTGAACATGGTTGGTTGGTTGGTTGGTTTGTTAACGCTGCACTCAGCAATATTCCAGCCACATGACAGTGGTCTGTAAATAATTGAGTCTGGATCAGACAATCCAGTGATTATATATATAGTGATCGATCCATGCAATTGGGATCGATGATATGCATAGTCGCCTCTTACGACATGCATAGTCGCCTCTTACGACATGCATAGTCGCCTCTTACGACAAGCATAGTCGCCTCTTCCGACATGCATAGTCGCCTCTTACGACATGCATAGTCGCCTCTTACGACAAGCATAGTCGCCTCTTCCGACATGCATAGTCGCCTCTTACGACAAGCATAGTCACCTTTACGGCAAGCATTCTTGAACATAGGTGAGAACTGTAGGGGGAAATCTATAAGCTGTCCTTGACGACATGTAGAAATTATCACAAGTTGTACCTGGATTCTATTTTGTTGTGTGAACACGGGTGTGTTGTCACTGTTATCCTGGTGTTTGTGAACATAGAGTAGATCTATATCATGTCCAAGATGAAATTATCACAAATTATGATATGAAGTTTTATTGCAAAGTGTAGTGTATTGATTTTGAACATAGGTATGCCCATAAGATGTTAGGATAAAGAAGTCTTAGAGTTCACAATATATAGCCATGTTGATTTTGTAACCGGTGTGGGACACTGTAGCAGTGTCAGTTGTTCTTGGGCATTAGGGAGACCCATACCCTAAACCAGACACAGAAATTGAAAACGTCTTGACTTCATCAAATATTTAGACATCTTGATTCTTCAAATTAGTAGAGGACACAGGAGTTGTATCGCAACTGTTGGTTTGCTGTTCTTGAAGTTCTTGGATGGACCCAAAAGAGTGGGTGGACCCTAAAGTGGGTTGACCCCAAAGTGGGTGGACCCAAAAGAGTGGGTGGACCCTAAAGTGGGTGGACCCCAAAGTGGGTGGACCCAAAAGAGTGGGTGGACCCCAAAGTGGGTGGACCCAAAAGAGTGGTTGGACCCAGGTGAGATAGGGAAATTGGTCCAAGTCTTATAGTTAATTTTACATTTTACATGCTTCTGTATACCGTGAAGCAGTTTGGGACTCAGGCGATTTATCGGAAATTGTCTCTTGGTATCATTTTCAGGAGAAAACTTATAAGTTTATTGACTTTTCTTAGTTGAGCATACCAGATCAAACCAAAGTTTACTCGTATCATGCTTCAGACTAGTAGCTAAAGTTGCAGGCTGCTGCGTTGTTCAGGGTGCTGTTGTACAAAGCGATCTTAGCGCTAAGGTGACTCCCATACCTTAACATAGACTTAGGACGACCGAAGCGATAAGGTTGTTTTGTACAACGGCACCCAGGTCAAGATTATTCCTGTTGCCCAGGGCTCAACACTTGACTCTACTGTAGCCTGTGTGCTTGAGGCTAGTGAAATATTATATGGGTTTGGGGAATACCATTGCTGGTATTGAACATGTTCGTGTCAATTTTTCGCAATATCTGGAATTTCTCTTTAACTTTAACTGGTTACTGGACAGATATCATTGAAATATACGTTGGCAGTTAGCTGAACTGTGATACCACCATTTTCACAGGAAATAAGTTTTCCTCAATGCTTCTAGAAATTGAAATCTTAGCTCTGTGAACCTCACCAGATAGGCCGATACATTGGCATTAGATGAATGAAGTGGTGACGTAATTGTCACTTGATAAAGAAACTTTTTGTTCTTCTCAACTAACCAGAAGGGCTAACATAACGCATTGTTATGATTTGATTTTAATTTCATTAAACAAATGCTAAAGTAGATCAACTACATGAAAATGTATTAAAACCACACATCTGTCACATCGGCTGAAATACTTCAAAGAAAGTCACAAAAATCATAGCACGATAAGAGTATATTGCCATACACTAATTAGTTCAATTTGATAGGCGGACTAGTTGACTGCCATGTAAGGTCACCCAGTACTGAGGCCTGAGCGTGATGCATTAGTCCTGGCAGATCATGTGACTGCTTGTTCATGTGATAGGAAATATGCCCTATGAGCTCATGTCCGATAAATCAAGCATTGCCAAACATACGTTATCAATAACCCAACCAAGCAATTTATCGGAGTGTATACCTGCCATTTTAACCTTTCTGTCTCACAGAATGGTCATGGCACCAGCCTTAGGCAATTATCTGTTTAAATATAGCCAAACTAGAGGAAATAAGCAATGGAAAAATAGAAATTCTAAGCCATTGTTAACTTGAAATGACTGTTATTGTAAGACCCTGAAAGAAGTGGGGGCATCATAGAACGGAATGGCCATTAGCTGTTTGTCGATGTCGAACACATTATCATAAATTCTTTGAACAGTTTTGTCCTCTATTCCTCCACGAGGAAGAACGTCAGTATGCCTGGGAGAAAGTGGGAGGAGGTTCGTAATATGACAGATCACAAGAAAATCTCAGAAAAAATGCCGTCCTGCCCGGACTTGTAGATTACTGAGCAATGATTCCTGATAAAAAACAAGCTGCCATTGAACTGTGTCATATTTCAAAGTGTAAAAGCCGAACACTGTTATCTTTTTGTAAACGCGTTACAATAGTGATGGTGGGCATGATACGAGATGTATTGTCATTCAAGGGTAATGATTCTATAGGTGTTCACTGTTTTGAAAAGTCCACTGTTGATTGGGACAAAGTCTGAGACATGGTTCAAAGAGTCGTGAAAAGCCCTTGAATCTGGCAGTTTGGAGCTGAAAAGACCTTAAATTTCACTGCCCTGAAAATGTCTTATAATTTGATCAAATGTCCAAAAAGGCCTAGTGCGCAGGTCCTATTCCAGGGCTCACCTCCCTACTGTTCTCACTGATTCTCACATTTTGATATATGGTATGCTCCAGATGATTTTTATGGGCTGTAATATGATGATCCAATATTTCACGTTTGTATTGATTTCCAATGGTTTGAGGCCTGTTGTCACTACTTCCTGCTCACAGACTGGGTGTTGGGTGATGGAGTGGAAGGCTCACTAAAGCAAGGCAGGATCAGCTGATGGATAAGCACGCATTTCTCCCACTTGTGTCATGCATGATTGTTTGTGACCCCAGGGGGATTCCAGGGTAGAATAGGACTCCAGTACCCAATGCATGGCTCTGAGAGGATTCCAGGGTAGAATAGGACTCCAGCACCTAATGCATGGCACTGTGGGGATTCCAGGGTAGAGTAGGACTCCAGTACCCAATGCTGGCCTCTGTTGGATTCCAGGGTAGAATAGGTCTCCAGTACCCCATGCTATAGGACAGAATAGACCCCAGTACCTCATAATTCCTTTTTGGGCAGAGTAGACCCCTGTACCCCATGATCCCTTCAGGGCAGAGTAGACCCCTGTACCCCATGGTCCCTTCAGCGCAGAGTAGACCCCTGTACCTTATGATCCCTTCAGGGCAGAGTAGACTCCTGTACCCTATGATCCCTTCAGGGCAGAGTAGACCCCTGTACCCTATGATCCCTTCAGGGCAGAGTAGACCCCTGTACCCCATGATCCCTTCAGGGCAGAGTAGACCCCTGTACCCTATGATCCCTTCAGGGCAGAGTAGACCCCTGTACCCCATGATCCCTTCAGGGCACAGTAGACCCCTGTACCCTATGATCCCTTCAGGGCAGAGTAGACCCCTGTACCCTATGATCCCTTCAGGGCACAGTAAACCCCTGTACCCTATGATCCCTTCAGGGCACAGTAGACCCCAGTAACCTATGATCCTTTGAGGGCACAATAGACCCCAGTACCCCATTTCCTCAGGGGAAGAATAGATCTTCAGTGAAATTGTGGTTTTAATGACTGCTTCGATTTTTTGTGTCACATCTTTTGATGGCAGACAAACAAAGTGTGTTTTGAATTACTTGTACTAGTCCACTCCCTTTTAATGACACAATGTTGTTTTGGAATATGTTGCCTGGTTGTTTACTCATGTTGCATCTTTTGTTTACAGGAATTAGCAACAGTAAACAAGGAACTAAATCAAGCAAGGGAACACTTACTAGAGAGAGAGGAGGAAATAGCGGAACTTAAAGCGGAAAGAAATAATACTAGGGTAAGTTCTATTTTTTACTACAAAAAGTATGTGTATTTAAGGCACTTCCTTTAGTTATGAAAATTCATTTGTCTATGTTCATTTTGGTGGATACTATCCACAAATAATGGCTCCTGCTTGCTCCACTGTCACCACCATGGCTTCATTTTGAATGACACAAGGGTGGATCATTGGCCTAGTCATCTAAGGCGCCACAAGAGTTGCATCCCTTGGGTACGCCAGAAGCCTGTAATCGTGGGTTTGAATCCCAGTTCGCTCCGATTATGTTTCGAGATTTGTCGCCAAAATTCCCATTCTCGTGGGTTTCACCAAAGTGGTAAACATCTGAGATCTGCATCACTTCAATCCCATCAAGCAGCTATATGATGGGTACTTGTCTTGTCTTTGTGTGTGGCATCTCAGATACAACTGGGAACATCCTGCAGGATTCTTCCTGGTCTGATTTGTGAGGATGCAAGGAGCCAGACCAAAAAACGGTTCAGTCGGTCCGACATACTGTCTTGGCTCGTCTTTGTCGTCTGATTGTTGCTTGTGTTTTCACGGGTGCACAGGTGGCCCAGTCATCTAAGGCGATTCGCTGTGCAGAGTTGCATCCCTTGGGCATGCCAGAAACCCATGATCGTGGGTTCAAATCCTGGTTTGCCCAGATTATGTTTCCAGCGAAGTGGTAAACGTCTCAGACCTGCATTACTTCAGGCTTTCCTCCCACATTAAGCTGACATGCTGCGATATAACTGGAATACTGTTAATAGCAGCGTTAAACCCAACTCACTCACTCACTCATCTTTCCAGTCACTGGTTTGCCTGGTCCGACCGTGATTACATACAGGTGGTTGTGATACAGAGGGAATATTGCTGAGTGCACTGTTAGCAACAATTTACAACCCGATTCTTTCACATTACCAAAGTTAATCTGCCCTGCAGTTAAGGACCACCTGATTCGTCCATGTTACTATAGTTAATCTGTCATGCCATGCCAGATAAAGTTGGGTAATATGAAAGAATCAGGTGATCCTTAACATCTCTTGAGTAGTATATATACTGACATGTTTATCTCAGTTCAGATGCGAGTTTGTAAATGTGATTTACAGGAGGTACAGAAGCTGTTTTTACGACAAGATTTAAACTTATGATATGATACATGCTGCATCCTTAAATAGAGCTCAGAACTTCGGCTATTTAGAAAGATGGAACGTATTATTTCTACATCCGCTTTGGCTGTGAAATTTGAGGCTATGATTATTGCACAGAAGTTTTGTGTACTCATCAGTCCCAGATGAGTCATTATTTGATGAAAGAGCTGATTTGTGCCTCAAACCTGGAGGGGCTGCTCAGCAAAGAAGTACTAAGCTTCTGAAACTCTTACGTTTCCCTTACAAACTTTCTCAAAGCCTGTGACCTCATATTTCCTTGTCTCATCTCCCCATAGGACATGAGAGTTGATATGCTTCTCAAGAAAGACTGAAACTGCCCTTTCTGCCTACTCATGTTATAAGGATGTGAATTGTTGCCTATTGATGAAGGTTGTTTTGAAGTAATATCAAACCCCTCCCTGTCTCCATGTCCCCATGGGGATTGCCGGGAAGAACAGGTCTCTAGTTGTTGTAGCAGTATCAGACTACAGCTGGTCTCCATGGGTGACCCTGTTGATTGTGTGTCACGGTTCCTGTATGGGTGGATCATTGGTCATGTTATCGATCCAATCCATCCAGAATATGATATGATCCGGTATAGGTGGAATATGCTGGCATTAAACAACTTCCACTCACTCACCCACCCACCCAAAGAATTTCAAGTGTTAATGATGAGAAGCCACAATGGTTGCCAGGGGAAGACAACTCTGATGTGACCTGGCTGCTTAAGAGAAGACAACTCTGTTTTGGTCTGATGTGCAAAGGAGAAGACAACTCTGTCGTGACCTGGGTGCTTTAGAGAAGGCAACTCTGTTTTGGTCTGATGTGCCAAGGAAAAGACAACTCTGTCCCATCTCACTGGGGCTCCTTTTCAGTTTAAATGGAGATGCTTGCCTCTCTCAGAAGTATGTTTTCAGAGCCTTTTCATAAGTCTATGAACAAAGCATATTAAATACCCGAAAATAGATCCTGAAAAGTTACAAGTAAGATTCTTCAAATTAGTAAGACATGTCCCCATAACTATATAGAAATTTCTGAAATCTATAGCAAGCTTGTTTTTCATAAGCTTTACAAATTACAAACAAATATCATCATCAGGTATCTTCAAAGATCTAAAATTACTAATCTTTGAAGTGCTGCCATCATAAAGCAAAAATAATAGATTTATTGGAGATATTTACATAAACAATACCACTTGAATGTCACTGGTCTAGATCAACTTTGGTGATCACTATAAAGCTTGATCACACACTTAAAGGCTTTTGTTGAAAAAATACAAAAACATATTACCTCAGAAGAAATATATTGCATAAGTATCTGAAAATGGAGATGGGTTTTTGCATAGTTATTTAAGAAATATCAGGGCTAGAATAAATATTTTTCAAGAGTGCACAAAAAGTTGCCATCTATGTAATGTTTAAGTGGTAGTCCACAAGGAAATGTCACTAATCCATCCTGAATTGCAGCGAAAAGTTACAAGTAAGATTCTTCAAATTAATAAGACATATCCCCATAACTATATAGAAATTTCTGCAATCTATAGCAAGCTTATTTTTCAGAAGCTTTACAAATTACAAACAAACGTCATCACCAGGTATCTTCAAAGATCTAAAATTACTAATCTTTGAAGTGCTGCCATCATAAAGCAAAAATAATAGATTTATTGGAGATATTTACATAAACAATACCACTTGAATGTCACTGGTCTAGATCAACTTTGGTGATCAATATGAAGCTTGGTCACACACTTAAAGGCTTTTGTTGAAAAAGTACAAACATATTACCTCAGAAAAATATATTGCATAAAAACGATATCCGTTGGGGTCATATGCGGATAGAGATGCAAATATCAAAGGTCAAGTAGGACTACTTTCACTGTTTATAAACAAACATGGCGTCGCCCTCGTCATTCGGCGATCGAGTCAGAATTAACCATCGGGAATCTGGATAAACTACAGGGATAATTGCTATCATTATCAAAAGAACAGTCTAATATACTGAAAATCAGTGTTTAACTGTGACGTAGCTAAGGCATTTGTATAAGTTTTGGCAACTTTGGAGATATAAATTTTGAAACAATTTTGCGAGGGCACGAGGCCTAGCCAAGCGGGATCAGTAGCCATATCTGTGCTTATAGACCTCTGCAGCTTGAAACCTTCTCCACAAATTAAAATAGTTGGATTTGGCCGAAATATGTTTGAATTGTTACCTTGTTTCGTTTTGTCGCTGTGTGTACATATGACTACACTTCTTGACGTTATGACAGGACTAGGGTTAGAGTAGCTTCCCTTTGACCAAGGGCAGTTACTCTAGCGGACAGACCAATGGTTTGCCACGAAAGGCAATTAAAAACAACTGTTGTTTTGCGTATGTGTTGCTTCAGTTGGAACTATATTGGCTACTGTCACTGTCCGACTGACACATCACTTACCCTGTGACGTAATAAATATTAATGCGCGCATTCCAGGAAAACTCGCAATGTTTTGGTAATGTTTGTGAGAGAGGGAAAACGATTTTAAAGCACAGAATTAAAGAATGACATTATATGATAAAGAGGTTATCACGCTTGTGTGTTTGGAGATGGTAAATATCCTGTATTAGGAATAAACATGATGTATTTAGCTCGCCAATGCTCGAGCTGTTTATTCCTAATGCAGGATATTTACACACTCGCGTGATAACCTCTATGGGTGCGGATCAGATAACTGCAAGTAGGCTAGCCTTGTGGTTAAGGGGTTTGTTTGTCATGCTGAAGGCACAGTTTTGATTTCTCACATGGTGTCTGCCCAGGTAGTATTATTCAGGGGTGAGACTCTTCCGTGGATCCACAAATTTTAGTGACCACAAATGTGTTCAAATCTGATGGCTTCCCCCATAAACACCCCCAAATTATGGACCAAGCTCCATCGCAAAAATGTTTCAGCTGAAAAGCAATCTCATTAAAATCAGATTTTAGTTATCGCTTTCGCTAAACAAAGATCTGAGGACATCCCATTACGGGTCACGTCAGAACGACCTTTCGCGAATTTTGACCGACCTATGAAATGACTGACAAGAAATCGACATTAGCCAATCAGAAGGCAGCTTTATTGAGCTTTACGACACTAGTTTCAAACTCGCGACTATGCCTCGAAACATATTTTGACGTATTCTCGATTAAAACATTTAAAACTGATAAGAAGAACATTCTGGAATGGCTTATAGATGGCCTAGATTGAAATGGATATGATCATAAAACCTGTAACTGTCGTTCGGAATACCCAGTGTTAAATATTTCGTGGTTGCATGATCAGAAAACACATTCCGTCCGTCACTTTCATGATCTGGTAAGCGACGCTCTGATTGGTTGGTTGAAAGGTCGTTCTGACGTGACCCGTAATGGGATGTCCTCAGATCTTTGTTTAGCGATAGCTTGGCTGAAAAGGAAAATATCCATTCCTATCCCTGATTATTAATATTATACCCTGACACAAGTGGAATAATTTAGGAATCCGTACTGTTCTTCAAGAGCATACTCAATGGCTGTTCAGTATTTCTCAATGAAACTTTGCACAGATATCAGTCTGGCCATGAATGTGTGCCTTTTTCTATTTTGGAACATTTTGAAAGTTTAATTCTTCCCCAGTCCTCCATGAAAATAATTAAACTTGCTGTCACTAGGTGGCTTTTCCTTGAGTCTTGCTGAAGTCTTGCAGTCAATAGAACATACCACTGTCGGGGAATGTGAGTGTTTCATGCTTAGAGTGGCATAAAACCATACATACCCAATCAGTCACTCCATCACTCATCCGCAAGTACCTGTTAAAGAGTTGAGCCCCTTAGGCGTGCCAAGATCCTAAGCTCATTGATTCAAATACCAAATTTGCC